ACGTACCGCTTGTAGATCCTTGGTGTAACAGGTGCAGTAAGGAGGGCTTTCTCCTCAAAGTCTTCCATGAATATATCTGCAACAATGGGAGGTACAGGTGAGCCCATCGCAACACCATCTACTTGCTTGTAAAACTCTTCCTTCTACGATGGATAGCCAGATGTAAGGCAATGTCTGAGTAATACTGCATATTCTGCTGGCATGTTATTTTCCTCTAGTTTCCTAGTTATAATTGAGATGCAGTCTTCAACAGGTAGGCATGTAAATAGAGACTGAACATCAAAACTGACCATGGTTTCATTGTCAGTAAGACGTAGGTCTTTTATCTCACTGACAAAATGGTATGAATCCTTAGTGTGTGTTCTTGTGTGTCCTCTGAGTGGTGATAATATTTTAGCTAAGTATTGAGCCAATCTGTAAGTTGGCGAATCAATCTGACTCACTATTTGACGTAAAGGAGAGTTCGGTTTATGTATTTTGGTAACCCATGCAATTTCGGTGGTTGGGCATACTTAGGTATTATCGTATTAACGTTAAGATTCAATTTCTTGGAGTATTTCTTAATAAGATCGCTAGTTATTCTTAGCGTATTAGTTTTAGGGTCTGTTTTGACCTTTCGGTATGTAGTTTCATCCAAAAAATTTGTTGTATTATAAAATTGTAATGTGACTTATCCATTATAACCGTAGCATTGCCTTTATCTGCGCGGAGAATCGTAAACTCTGGTCTGTTGCGTAAGTTTTTCGACGCGTTAAATTCATTTTTGGGAAGATTTAATTTCGGCGCTGAACTTCGACGTAACATAGACGAAATGTCTTGACTTATGGCCTCTAAGTTTTCATTACCAATGTTATTTTTATACAGACAGTCCTCAACACTACAGATAATGTCCTCAAAAGGTATTTTTTGCGGTGTTATTGCGAAATTCATACCTTTTTATAAAACTTTTATTGTGGCGTCGTCCAGTGTTTGATTTGATAAGTTGTAGACAGCGCGTTGTTTATGATTCGTGTCTGTGGTCAACGATTTCGTATGTTGGATATCTGATTTAGTTGTTAATTTATGGTATTTATCAATATGTTTATTTTTGCATTCATTGTATTTAGTTGTTTCGCGTTTATCTAAAGTTTCCATGCAATTTTTATAATCAAATGCCGATAAAACTGTCTTTAAATCACTGGACGAATTGTCTATGGTTTTGTTTATGAAATATAGATCGGTACGTTTTTGGTGACTCACCGTTATTAACAACTTTTTACTAGCCTGATTTAAGATCTTAGCGCTTCCTCGAATGTCCTTTTTAGTGGATATCTTGACACACGTAGGAATGAGAGTATGATCCCTGTGTCTCTTAAAGAAATTTAAAGCTGTTATGTATCTTGCACGCTTGGTCTTTAGATCTTCTAATCGGCGTATTTTATTTTCTATTTCCAGTCCGTACTGGTTTACATAATGATTTCTTATATTTACGCGAACACTACACATTGATTAAAACATCTTTTACGGATTTTATCGCGTTTATTTTACTATTATTTTTAAGTCCCGACTTTACTATTAGTTTTACTTAAAAAAATATTCCGAATAAATATAATTGAATGAAATAATTTTCACTAATTATTAGCTTTAAAATTCTGCTTTAATTATTCAATCCTTAGCGTCGACTTCAAATGCTATTAATACGTAGAAATTATTTAATTATATTTGGTTTTACTTTTATGGTAACATTAATTATACAAAGTAGGCACTCATATTGTTAACTTATTTACATTTTACTACGTGCTCGGTGGTACAGGAAAATGTCATAGGACAGGAAAATATCAACATAAATAAGAAAAAAAGATTTCGAAGACATGTGAAGTTCGCTAACACGTATTGGGGCAGCGCGGCGGACATTACTTTGACCTAAAACCCTCTCAGTAATGAGAAAAGATCTGTAGCCGGTAGTGGAACGTATAAGGTTGGAACTTTAACTAAATTTAACCAGGTACTTATATAATTCGGTTGGGTAATGAGTACGTTACGTAGCTTAGTCGTTAGTGTGTCTGCTTGCGGACACTTAGTCTTAATCAATCATCTATAGACACATATAAAAATGATGTAACTAAAATAACTATCTTTTTTTAAGCTCAGGGGTTATTTGGCATGCTATTTAAACTTAAATAACCATTGTTAAAGTTTTGTCTATCTGTCTGTTTGTCCGGGCTATCTCCGTGATGGCTGAACCAATTGTGATAAAATTTTACGAACACACAGAGAGCAGTGCCATGAGGGACCTAGCCCATATTGTATCACTTAAACTTGAGTTTTTTAAATATACGAAAAATTTATAAAATTATTTTAAATATAAATAACCCCACATTATTAATTTTATCAAGGTGAAGCCGCGGCGAATCGCTAGTTTTTGAATTTTAAGCGACAAACAAACACATAGACCTTTAAAAGTCACTGGCTATTGCAGCACGTAGATACTCGCAAAAAAGTTTAACCTTGTGCCCCATCGGCTGTCGGCTCGTTGAGCATAATATTATGATTAGCCCATTACCACTTCAATTATTGATCCCAGAGCCATGTCGGTTATCTATTGATTCTAATGCTGTGTATGCTCGTGATATGTTTGGATGTAAGAGACTTGATAACAGCAAAAAAATCTACTTAAGATATGGTAAAATTCTTTAAAAAAATGTAGGGTCAGATATGTGGTTTATGATATTTATTTCTCATAAGAATAGAATATTCATTTGTCTGAAAACACAAAAGTAAAGTTACAGTCTATATACGTCCCACTGCGGGGCACATGCCTCCCCTCATTTCCGAGAGGGTTTTAGGGCAAGGAAATGTCCGCCGCTGTGCCACATTGCGTGTTGGCGAACTTCACATGTCTTCGAAAATATTTTTTTTCTTATTTCTAACATATAACAAATAATAACAGAACGCGAGTAACCCGGGTTCGATCCCCGCTGGCACCAATAAAATTGAGAAACACAAGATTGATTTAAAATATATAAATGTGTTTACATCTGAACAAGTGCTGGAGCGACATTATTTGATCATTGATGCGTTTATTTTGATTCCATTATCCATTATAGTCTATACAACGTACGTCTCCTAAATAAATTTCCTTAAAGGTTTACTTATTCATTCTTTATTGCTATAACCTTAAATAACGGAGTTAAAAAGGGTGGACTTAATGCCTTTTGGCATTCTCTTCCAGTCAATCTCGGGCGTAGTGGAATATAATGGTAGCCGCTAAAGGATAAAAAAGGAAAGTGTTGCAAAGGTTGAATTTTGCCATAGCTGCCACGCTGCATACGCGTTTTTTTATAATTTCCAGTTATTTTTAGGAAGATGCCCCTACCTATCGGCTACTACAGTTTCCCTCTGTCAGCTCTTACGACACCCACGGGATGATGTGGGATAGCGGATATTCTTACACCGTCAATTCACACAGTTAATAAAAAGGTTGATTAATATATGATGAGAAGTTATAGCTGTGGTTTCAATAATTTTAGCTTAGAAAATTCAACACAAAAGTTACCGTTGCCGCAAATTGTTTATAATAGATTGCTTGTTTAGTGTGTGGCTGATCAATTTGTTAGAAACAATATTAATTAATAATTTTAGTAGAAATTTATGAGCTACAATTGTTTAGATTAATGTATGATTTTATAAAACTAATATATTTCATTAAGATATTTTAGTGTAAAACATTTTTTATTACTCTGCCCGATAAGTAACGCACTTTTTTCCTAAAGGCCTGCCAATTTAATTATTTCTATAGTTTTTATCATGTTGCCTACTCATATTGGGCATTTGTCAAATGGTCTGGACATTATGAATAATGCCCTATTATTGACTTGTTAAATAATATGTTATGTACAAAACAAATACAGTGTTACTGCTACTACTACAGCCTATCACAAGTCCACTGCTGAACAAAGCCCTTCCCCATAAGTTGCCAATAAGTACGGTCCTAAGCAAACTACATCCATGAACTGGTTGCGAGTTTCTTCATGACGCCACTCTGTGTAGGTCAGGAATCAGGTGTTGCTTTCTGGAAATCCACTGCGTTTAAAATTAACTAACGAAGATCCGCGTAATAAAATAAAATGTCGTGTCTGAATTGCTTGCACTCCGTCACCACTAATCGCAACACCATCGTCGGTGGTATAATTTAATGTCAGTATGTGAAAAAATTGATGTAAGAATAAACAAATATATATATATATATATTTATATATATATATATATATATATATATATATATATATATATATATATATATATATAGACTATCTCCGTTTAGCCTAATGGTTGACTGGGAGAGAAAGACCTATGGAATTAAGTCCGCCATGTGTACTACTTTATTCATTTTTTATTTTATTTAAAAATAAAAGAATGTTAACATTGCTATAAATATTACTAATATTCCCCTTAACCACTGGTGGTAAGCTTAAAATGCTTGTGTTACGAGTGCTTCACGCCAGTAGTCGAATGGCGGATTCGAACCCACGACCTTTTCGAGTTCGCGGTCCGTGTCCTGCCATTACGCTACTGTCGCTTATTTATTAAAGTGTAAATAAATAAATAAAAAATAAATACCATCTCGAAGAGTTCGCTCACACTGCGATTATCAGTACGAGGCATCCACTCGAAAAGCTTTCTTACCGAATCCAATGATTGTTGTAATTCAATGCACATTTTTTTTAATTAAAAAACTAAAATGTAACAGCTTAAAGTTGGGTACATAGGGCGGATTTTATGTCAACCCTGGGTGCATAAATTATAATTAATCATTGAGGTTGGGTCAAAATGACCGTGCGTGTTTTAAAATGCATATATTTTTGTAAGTACGCATGCGAAGTTGCCTTTCTTAACATGTCTTAGATTTAAATTTTAGATTTTTATTTATAAATTTTGTTTCACGGTAAAAAATTGAGTCATTTTTGCGTTTGATGTTAATTTTTGTCGTAATCAATATTTCCTTTCCTTTTTAAGGTAACATGAATCGAAATAGTCAAAGTATTTTGTCAATTCTTGAGAAATCTGACTTAGACAAAAACTTTTCTGATGACGATGACGTGGATGAAGAGGATCACGTGAATATTTGTAGTCAGGCAATCGACACGGAACAAAAAAGTTCAGAAAGTGATGACGATAATGTCCCGCTGAGTGAAAATAGAATGGAGTTGCAATCCAGCTCGTCTTTTATTCAACAACAGCCAGATACATCTTCACGGCGTGAGGTACGTCTACAATATCTTGGTAAAAATGGGACAGTTTGGTTTAAAACACCTTTTTGGTACAATGTGAGGACGAGGGCAAAATATATAATCACACGGTTGCCAGGTGTGACACGAGAAGCTAAGTGTGTTACTTCTGAGTTTGGAGTAAATGTCGCCGATGATCTCTGCGCAACATATAACGTGAGCTGTAATTTCAAGAGATGGCCCTTTACCATATTTTATGCTCTATTGAATATCTGGGATTAACGGTGCTATAACAAAGTGTGCAATGCACAAAAAGACCGTATAACAACGCGTACTTGTCAACGTTGAAACAAATATATTTGTCCCCAAGCACATCGTATCTTTCTGCAGTGATTGTGTAAACAATGACGATTCAAATTAACTTTTTTTTACATATTTTCAAAGCATTATTAGTATGATATATTTTATGTGTTATTTGTAACCAAAAGACTGGTAATTTGTTAAGCAAGTGATGAAACTGTAAGGGATCTCAATTTTATTAACGTTTTTGTGAGTTTATGGAAAAGCTTAAAAACCTAGAATAAACATTTGATAACTATAAAGTTTATTCTTTTATTTATAAGTTCAGAGTACAAATAGATCATATAGAAATATAGATTACCGAAAATTTGAATAAACACGGAAATATCAAATTTTACATATACGGGTCATATTGACCCACCTCAACGTCCGTGTTACAATTTTCTACCACAATGAAGCCGGGTTAAGTGTACATATATTAAAATATACATACTACAAAAATATATTTATATATACATGTAGGGCGACACCCACTAGATGGAGTGACAACCTGGTAAAACATGCAGGAAGTCCTGCCGTCGTACGAGAGAAGGGCACATCTATCATTTTGGTCAAACTGAGATAATTGAGATTAAAGTTTTTACCACATTCTGCTTCATAGTGTGGAAACCTATCGCTTAAAACAAAAAAAAAATACTGATGATGTATGCGTGAAGGTTAGTACTATTATATTTTTTACTTTTTAATTTTTATATAAATTAATTATTAAATAAATTTAAAAAAATCCTTTCAACTTAAAAAAATATTTTAAAAATACCACTTACTACAAAGAAAAGTATTCATTCACAATCAAGCTTGTACACTCCTGCATCTTGCAGAGGGACGTTACACTTGACTGATGGTAAAAACTGACCAATCTTCTTCGGCGGCTTGAAGTATGTTTTGATGGAAGCGCGCTTCAAGATGTGGTCTCTCCTACATAAGACAAACTAAAAGATCAATTAAAACCCGCGTCAAAGAACATATAGCTGATGTGAAGAATCGACGCTCCGGGAAGTCTGCAGTCTGTGAACATGTACAGGATCGCCCCCGTCACTACATCAGATTTGATAGACCACAAATCCTCGCTAAAGAACACCGATTCCTTCCAAGGATGATTCGCGAGGCTATTGAAATAAAAAGACATCCTAATTTCAATAGAGAAGATGGCTGGGTGCTACCATCTGCTTGGGATCCTATAATAAATAAAATTAAATCCCAACCCAAGCATACAACTGCAAAGAAATCATTATGTAAACCAGTACGGACTGGTAATTGCAAATAAAATACGCCGATTAGAAGATCTAAAGACTAAGCGCGCAAGATATATAACAGCCTTAAATTTCTTGAAGAGATGCCGAGACCATAATCTCATTCCTACGTGTGTCAAAATATCCACCAAAAAGGACATTCGAGGAAGCGCTAAGATCTTAAATCAGGCAAGTAAAAAGTTGTTACGGGCGGTAATCCAACAAAAACGCTCCGATCTATATGACATAAATAAATCCATAAACATATCATCCAGTGAATTAAAGAAAGTTTTAACGACGTTTGATTATAACTTTTGCATGGAAACATTAAATAAACGCGAAATTAGTAAATATAACGAATGCAAAAACAAACATATAGAAAAATATCAAAAATTAACGGCCAAATCAAATGTCAAACATTCGAATCAATGCCAGAACCAAAAGCAACCATTGACAAACACAGATCATAGATTAATCACGTTCTATAATCTGTCAAAACAAACACTGGATGATGCAACAATAAAGGTGTTATCCAAAGGACTAAATTACGCTATAACTCCAAGCAGATTACCGTACGAAGAAATTATCTGTAGTGTCGAGGACTGTTTATTTAAAAACAATATGCGGAAAGAAGATTTGGAGGCGATACGTCAAGACATTTCGTCTATGTTACGTCGATGTTCAGTGCCTAAACCGAATCATCCCAGAGACGAATTTATAGCGTTAAAGAACCTACGCAATAAACCAGAACTTACGATTCTCCGCGCAGATAAGGGAAACGCCACGGTAGTCATGGATACGTCAGATTCTAATTCTAAAATACAAGAACTTTTGTCGGATGTAAGTACTTATAAAAAGGTTAAAAACGACCCAACAAATAGCACACTAAAAACAACTAGTGACCTCATAAAGAAACACTCCGAAAAATTAAATCTGGACGTAAAATGGATAATACCTAAGTGCGCCAAATCACCAAAGTTGTATGGGTTACCAAAAATACACAAGCCCAATGCTCCATTACGCCCCATAGTGAGCCAAATCGATTCACCAACTTACAGATTGGCTCAACACTTAGCGAAAATACTCTCACCGCTCAGGGGACATACAAGAGCACACATAAAGGATTCCTACCATTTTGTCAGCGAGATTAAAGACCTACGTCTGGCAGACAATGAAACTATGGTCAGTTTTGATGTGCAGTCATTGTTTACATGCTTACCTGTTGAAGACTGCATCTCAATTGTAACTAGAAGGCTGGAAGAAAACAACATGCCCGTAGAATATGCAGTATTACTCAGACACTGCCTTACATCTGGCTACCTATTGTGGAAGGAGGAGTTCTACAAGCAAGTAGATGGTGTGGCGATCGGCTCACCTGTATCTCCCATTGTCGCCGACATATTCATGGAAGACTTTGAGGAGAAAGCCCTGCTTACTTCTCCCATAAATCCAAGATTCTACAAGCGGTACGTAGACGACACTTTCACAATTCTACCTTTAGATAAAGTAACTGCATTTTTAGACCATCTTAACTCTATTAATACTAAAATTCAGTTCACAATGGAGTTAGAGGCAAACAATTCCTTAGCTTTTCTAGATATGTTAGTAATTCGGAATCCTGATAACACCTTGAGCCATACTGTGTATAGAAAAAAGACCCATACAGATAGATATTTAAACGGTGATTCTCACCACCATCCTTCACAGTTAGCTACCGTGGGTAAATATTTGTTTCAGAGAGCACGAGGGATCTGTGACAGTAAACACCTGGCTGCCGAGCTCCAACATGTCAAGCAAGTTTTGCATGACAACAAGCTTCGGGTCCCGCGCCTACGTCACAGAGAACGAGTAAAGCCGGCCACAGTCGAGCGTGTACCTGCTGTACTGCCATATGTTAGAGGAGTCACTGACAAGATTGGCTACATCTTGAAGCGCGCTTCCATCAAAACATACTTCAAGCCGCCGAAGAAGATTGGTCAGTTTTTACCATCAGTCAAGTGTAACGTCCCTCTGCAAGATGCAGGAGTATACAAGCTTGATTGTGAATGTGGTCTCTCCTACATAGGACAAACTAAAAGATCAATTAAAACCCGCGTCAAAGAACATATAGCTGATGTGAAGAATCGACGCTCCGGGAAGTCTGCAGTCTGTGAACATGTACAGGATCGCCCCCGTCACTACATCAGATTTGATAGACCACAAATCCTCGCTAAAGAACACCGATTCCTTCCAAGGATGATTCGCGAGGCTATTGAAATCAAAAAACATCCTAATTTCAATAGAGAAGATGGCTGGGTGCTACCATCTGCTTGGGATCCTATAATAAATAAAATTAAATCCCAACCCAAGCATACAACTGCAAGACTCCATGATACCACAAGTTCATAGTGTGTAGATCGGAGCAAAAGTTAAATTTTAATCTGTGGTAACCGCGGTTAACTATGACAGCTGGACGTTGAACATCTCAGTCCTTCCCGTGACCATGGGTGCTGTAAAGCTCTCGAAACGTCGGGTAAAAAAGTTAAATATACGCGATAAATTCCGTAAAAATTAGTATTATTTCAATGTGTAGTGTTCGCGTAAATATAAGAAATCATTATGTTCTTTTGTCTTTGTACTGTCTATTTGTGATGGATTCGGGTTATGACCTCGGCCGTCAGCAATAGGCTCTGCGTATTGTGTTTTATAGTGTGTGTCAATAATGTTCCTCACAGCCTTACATTTACTTTTCTTGTAACCCAAAGTTGTGAGAAAAAACATTTTACATACCGTAACTTTCTCACCGCTTTCATCACTTATGAAATACGAAACAGTCTTAGTTCGATCATAGTGTTTACCATGCTCATCATCATGACTTCTTTTCTTTGTTTGCAGGCTTTTTTTCTGGATAGTATTAGCTAAAAAAAAGTGTTTTTGTTCCGACCAAGACATTTTCCAGAAATTACGATTAATAATTTTGCGGTAATCCTCTGAGAATTTCGTTGAACATTTTTTCTACAAATGTACTCTTGGCATCCGGGTTTCACAAAATATTTGGTATATATTTTTTTCTTACATAAACACTTACGCCAGTCACCGAGAGGGGTAGGCAGAGACTACAGACTTTCATTTAGCACGATCCTGACATACCTCTCCCACCTCTTCCACATCCATATACCTACGCATACATGCTCGTCGGTTAAGGGTACTCTTAATTTGGCCCATTTTTAGTATATCGCCAATTTGGTCGACAAACTTCCGCCTAGGACGTCCCTTTCCGAGTCTTCCATTCACTTCTGCAACATATTGTTGCGCGAATAAGTCGACGTCATATATCTGGCACTAGCGCCATCTAGTGTCACGGATGAGAGCGAGGGGGAGCTTTCCAGAAAATAACATCACTAATCTTTCAACCGACAGCGCCATCTAGTCTCGGAACGAAGAACTAAGCTTCTAGAAGTCAACACTCGAACTCTCGGCCCCTTGCGCGTGTTTACTTGAATATTCTGGATGTTTCGGTGCTAATTTGTATTTATAGGCGCTGCAAGATGCGATTGGGGAATTATTGAATTTGGCGAGACAAGCGAAGCTTCGGAGCGGAATAAAGTGAATCAGTGTGATTAAGTATTAGTGTTTTAAGTTTAATTAGTGTAAAGAGAATTAAAGCGTTAATTTAGGTAATTCTATCGGCAATTTTTATTGTCACGAACCTCA